ATATATATATATGTAATAAATAAATACACTAAATAAATAAATATACTAAATAAGTAAATATAGTAAATAAATAAATCAATATTTTAACATTTAATAATAATGAATTTGTAAATAAATAACTAGGGTTTAATAAAAAATATTCATTTTTTTATTAAATATAGATTAACAATTTCATAAATATTAAAAATAATATATTAATATAATTGTTTGTAATTACATTAAGAAATAATATTATTATAATTTATAAACATATATTTTGAATAATTAAATATATATTCAAAAATTAAATTACATTTATTCCGAACTGGCAGTGCTGTTTCGTTCAATTTTATTCTGTCAGTCATATTCAAAATGTACAACAACTTAACGAACATGGCGTTCGGCTGTCAAAAGTGCACGAATGCTTATTTCTAGTCTTTGGCGAAGTTTGTGAAAATCGGAACACATTTTACAGTCGTTATTGTGCATTTATTATATTTTATTATCTTAAATTCAATTAAAATTATTAAATTTTTAACAAAATGTCGATTGGAGTGCCAATAAAAGTTCTACACGAAGCCGAAGGCCACATTGTCACTTGTGAAACAATTACCGGCGAAGTTTACAGAGGAAAACTAATCGAGGCAGAGGACAATATGAATTGTCAAATGACAAATATCACAGTTACATACCGTGATGGACGTACTGCAAATTTAGAAAATGTTTATATTCGTGGTTCAAAAATAAGATTCCTTATATTGCCGGACATGTTGAAAAATGCTCCTATGTTTAAAAAACAAACGGGTAAGGGGCTCGGTGGGACGGCCGGCCGTGGTAAAGCAGCGATTTTGCGCGCACAAGGCAAGTAGCACGTATTTAATGTAAAATAAAGTAAAAATTAATCAAATTTTTTTTTTTTTCTTAGCAAGAGGAAGAGGTGGCCGCGGTGGTCCTGCGGTGGGTGGCAGAGGCGCACCACCTGGAGCACCGGGTGCTGGACGTGGTGCTTGGCAAGGTGGACCTACTGGTGGTCGTGGACGCGGCGGCTTGTAAATTTATTTTCGATATATAAAATCCATTTAATTTTCTTCGATTTAAGTGAATTTTTAAGCGCAGTCGTAGAATAAACAAATTAACTTTATATTTATTAAATATATTATTTTAATTGTAAGATTCTACAACAATACAAACTAAACATTTTAGTTATATGAACTATTGAGAAACATTTTCTGGAAATTATAAGTTTGAAGTGTATTTTTTGTGTTTTTAATGCTGATTTATAAATAAGAGTGGAGAAGCAGTGTCGAGTTCTTTAAAAAAAACAGACTATTAAGTCTAAATAATTCTAAATTGTCCTTCAATTTTTAATAAAACTTAATAATTTTGAACTGCTTATAATTTTTAATCTTTTTATTACGATTTTTGTGCAATTTTTTAATGAAACCTTAAGGTTCAAATGATAGAAAATATAAATACTGAATATATCTGAAAGTGAAATAGATATTGAATTAAAATCCAATAATGTTATTGTGTAAATCAAGGAAGTGAAATTTATAAAGTTGATTGTATTTCAAACATTCACTAAAGAAGTGTAAAAGCAATATATATCACAAAAAGAGGATTCAGTTAGAAAGAGTGTGGTGAGACGCCTATTAGAAAGCAACTACTATATTTGGAAATGTGAAATGGTGTAAGAAAATGGGTAGAGATTTCGCTTGCTGAGAGTAATAATATTGGATTACTAAAGATTCAGGTTCCAAGAACGGCTGAGTGTATGTTCGGAGTCACTCGTACAGTTCAACCGGCAACTGTTATTAGAATTGCATAGATTATTTTCAAGAAACAAAAATGCCAGACATATAGTTAAGAAAATCCTGCTTTATTTGTAATTTTCACATAACTCAACAGGAGCTACAATAGTAATTTGAAGAAATTATAAGGTCCAATATACACAAACGGTTTAGCTACCAGGCGTATATTATTCAGAATGCACGGATGGGTGAAACACTTCCCAATCCGAATTACTAGTTAATTTCCTAAATTATTTTATTTCATTTTTGATTCCCATATACATATATTTCAATCTCTATAAAATATTTAATGACGTTACAATTTTATTTGATAGTTTAAAATAAATGAAACGCTGATTTCACAAATCATCAGATTTAACTGTTTGAATATACTCAGTGCCACAAATAGTTTATGGAAACATAAGAAAATATCTATATTGAAGGTACCAAAACAATCTGCAATTCTTGGAATGGATATCTACTACTACTGATTTTAATTACCCTTAAACTTAACTGCTTGGATATACTTAGTGGCATAAATAGTTTATGCAAACATAATAAAATATCTATACTAAAGGTTCCAGAACACTGTAATTCCTGGACTGAAAAAAAAAAATTTACAAAACTACTACTTGACATCGTAATGTGAATGGAACAAAGAAACAGTAGATTTAAACCATCTAAGATAATGTCCAATACTATTTCCGCGTTAAAATACTCGAAAAGGGTTCTAACTATACACATATCATCTAGGAAATTCAACAAGTTTTTAAATTGTGGCCTTACGGCGAGGTTGATCCTTGAGGTTACTGATATGCGTATCTAAATTGCAAATACATTCAAGTGCGTAATTAACACGGTCCAGATACTGCATGAAATTGCAACTATATATATAATGTTTCTACAGAAAAAGTTTCAAGACCCTGCATTATATTTAGTTCGAGTTATGGAAATTTGACTGTAGTTCATTTAAGTGTTGTTGGTGCTATATGTGGTTTAAACACCTCTTTTTTGGTTACCTCAGTAATTTTCTCGTTGTAGGTCCTAAATCATCTATTTTTTGATTCAATTTTAATTTTAAGTTAACAGTTAGAACGATTTTGTTTATACAGACATCACGATTTGACAACGGATTTTGATAATATTTAATACTCTGTTTACCTTTTTCCCCGACGCTTTATGCTCATACAATTTAGTTTTATAAATGTTGGTCTTAATGTTACATATATAATATTTACAAAAAACACCAACAAGCAGTCGTACAATCGTGCGTTTTATTATGCTATTTGTCGATATAAATTACATCTTGAGATGTCGGACTTTAGTTAGGTAGGCGGCCGGTTTTGTTTTCAAAAAGTCGACTTAAGCTCAAGAAATAGCTTATTGTGATATCACGGGACTAGCATTGGTATGTACTTAGCTTGAAATCAGAATACAACTAACGCCGAAAAGATAACGCCTCCCTCATTGGGTAAAGGAAAACCAACCTGACAGTTCTATAAATTTGGATAGGTCTCGAAAATTACAGGATGACAGCTCAGTCAGGACGTTGAGAAAAGGAACCCGTAAGATTTTTGATCTTCTTATAGTATCTCCCACAATAGAATGACAAAAGAAAATTAGAGATGGAGCACCTCTTTAATTTTCTAGTGGGAACCAAAATTCCGGACTCTATGCTAATTATATAATAGGTTATTTTTATGGAAGGACCTTCAAAATATTTATTATTAAAAAATAAACTTCCTCGTCAATTTTATAAAAAAATAATTTTCTAATGAGAACATCAGATCTTTTCACAAAGGTGAGTATAAAATCAAAAAAAAAAAATTAAGTATTCATCAGTTTAATGAGAAAATAATTTTTTTGTGAAGAAATCAAGTTCCACACAGTCTAACCTAATTATCGCGAAATTATTTTTCTTCCTTGTCAATTTTACTAAGGGGTAATTTTCTGATGAGGAACCTAACTTCTTGACTCTGCAGTCTAATCTAATTATATGAGAAATTATTTTTTTTTAATGGAAGGACGTACAAAACATTTAGTGTTAATAACAAAAAAAGCTTCCTAATAGTCGCCTATCGAATATTATACAAAGAGAGCAATTCCATGACAGTATTAAATTGAGAAGCTTGACTGTCGACGGATAGCTCTCTTTGTTTTTTTATTCGTAATTGAGATATATTGAAATTCCTGGTGGTTATCAAGAATCGTGTGTTAAGTATGGGATCAACTGACAGAACAATGAAACGGATAAAATCATATAATCGAATATAACAAATGAAACATTAATTAGAATGTTAAGATGGTACACAATAAACAAAAAGTTAGTTAAAATGATTAAAACAAGTGACAACAGTTACAACTGCTGCTAATCGAATATAATACAAAGAGAGCAATTCCATGACAGTATTAAATTGGGAAGCTGGACTGTCGATGGACAGCTCTCTTTATTATTAATTCGTTGAAGATCATTAGATTCCTTGGAATCTATCAAAATAATATATATAACACTAAAACTTAAACATATTTATTTAGAAAGATAAAATTTTTATTTGTTTTGCTATAACTAAATATAGCGCACATAAAAAAAACATTTTAAACAAATAAGAAATTAAAATAAATAAAATTTGCAAACAATATGCAGTTGCGTATACATATATAACATAAATATATAAACATATATACAAATACTCGTAAATATAAAAATCTTTAATTAACTTAAACGAAAAACGAAGGAAAAATCTGCGCACTTGGCAAAAATACGAGTATCTCAAGAAATGAGTTGATGCCGCAGTGAAAAAGAAAAGATACGATGAAGTAAAGAAAAAAAATTTTTGTTTACGTTTTGACGATTTTTAATAATAATAAATAATTTGCAAGCCTCACAAAAATTCCAATGTTTATATTATAGAAGCCATAGCAAATCAAAAAACATTTTCAACTGTTAATGATACTAATTATTGTTTGTATTTAGGTGAGATTATTAATTTGTCATAAGATTTTATATTATTATTTACTTTGTTGAACAATAAGTATGCAGATACTTTAACACTACGAATATTTCAGTTAAAATGCGAATGGACGGTGCTACCAATTACTGGTCTATATACCGGAGCCAATCGTCATCGATGGCTAAGTAGTAGTGTCCAATTTAAGTTGGATCGGCATTAATGGCTGAGTAGTAGTGTCCAATTTAAGTTGGATCGTCATTAATGGCAGAGTAGTAGTGGCCAACTTATGTTGGATCGTCATTAATGACTAAGTAGTAGTGTCCAATTTATGTTGGATCATTATTAATTGCTGAGTAGTAGTGGCCAACTTATGTTGGATCGTCATTAATGACTAAGTAGTAGTGTCCAATTTATGTTGGAGTTCGACGGTTTGCGAGAAAGACGAAAGAAACAAGTTTTATAAGGAAGGAAGGATATGATACGGTTTACAACACCAATAAAAACCATTGATGTAAGTAATGTAGAAAGAAAATAACTAGTTAGATAAGTGTTTCT